CGCTCCTCGGCCTCCCACAGCGTCGGCCTGCATGGCGTCCAGGGACGCTCGCAGCAGGCGTCAGGCTCACCGTCCGGGCGCGGCTCCTCCTCCGTCGGCGCGGCGTGCCGGAGACCTTCTCGGGGGTCCGGGCGCGGGTCGCTGCCTCCGGCGCACGGTGCTCAGCACTCACAGCGTCTTCGGTCAATTATGAGGTTGTTTTTTATGTTTTGTTTTGTGTGTGTTTTCTCCGCTGCTTTCGCCACCCTTGTGGCCCCTTTTCCGCGGCACGCTTGCGACAGCAGGGCTTGCGCTTCTCTTTCGGCTTTAGGACGGCGCGCGGCTGACCGCGTCGCTCGCAAGCAAAAAAGGTGTTTTCTCCGATCCGCAACCACGCATTAGCGTCAGCTGCTGACGGGGACCCAGATTCGCCCACAAGCGAGCCTGGCATGGCGTATTCGCTCTCTGTCGCATGGCAGATGAAGCCGGCACCCGCCCTCATTGCGACATCGCGTGCCGTCAATTCACCACGCGGCACTGATTGACGAGGGCCAGGCACAGGACCTGAAACCGAAGACTGAACTGGAAGGGGAGCCATGGACGTGAACGAAAACACCGCCAGTCCAAGACGTCGAAACCGAGAATCCCTCGAAGCCTTCCTCCCAGACGCGTCACCGAACATCAAAACCATATCAAACAGAGAACCATTCTTAAGACATGTTGGAACAAATCATTGCATCTGCCAGCCCACCATTATTATTAATCAGGTGGTGACGCGAGCGCCATGTCCGATGCCGAATCGAGGCCTTTCAAAGCTGGATCGGCCTCAGGCTGTGAAAAAGCTTCTGGTGCCAGGATTGCAGATTGCTCGAGTGCGATGGAACTTACGTTGTGGTCACATCCCCATGCAGGTGGAAAATCAGACTCTGGATCATTTTGGTATCGCGGGCCCATGTCATCAAAGCCGGGATCGAGCTTCTCCTCAATCGTTGACCTTGGCCAGTACCCCCCGATAGCTATTCTGACCATCAACTCGCTCAGACGCTCCTCCTGCTCTGTTGCGCAACCAACCTACGAAGCGAGTAATTGCCCACTTCCTGCTGCATGCCTTCACGCGCCGAAGTCCAGGCGCAGCCTGCCGAAGCTCAGCCTGTATAGACGCGGTAAAATCGCGCGAAACAGATACGGGTGAATATAAGTCTATGTTGCCAGGTAAACCGTCCACCAGAAGCCTTAAAGCCTCTAAGCCTCAAAGAAAATCATCAAGCGGTTTCCAGTGGTCAAGCTCCAAAATTTCCACGCCGCCTCCAAAAGATATGGCATAACTGCTCCGTAAGACCCTCGAGCGTGCCGTGAGCGATGGAAAGGGATCGCATGCTTAAATTTATGCAGCAGGATGGGCCATGCGCGACGGCAAGTAGGTCGAATACCAGGTGTATGGAGCCAGCGTCGCATCCAAACTTCCGAAAGAGCGTGTTCTACCGCTGCTGGCGGAAAACTGGGGGGGGTCACTACCGGTTCGAACCCCTCCCCCCCCCCCTCCGGAAAACGGGGGGGGGGTCACTACCGGTTCGAACCCCTGCCCCCCCCCCCCAGTTCATCATTAAAATGGGGGGGGTCACTACCGGTTCGAACCCCCCCCCCCCCATCCCCCCCTCGAACTCGAGAACCGGGGGGGTTCACTACCGGTTCGAACCCCTCCCCCCCCCGAAAACCGAGGGGGGGTGCGGACAGTGGTGGGGACGGTGGTGGTGGGGACAGTGGTGAGGGGACAGCGGGACAGTGGTGGGGACAGTGGGACAGTGGTGGGGACTGTAGTGGTGGGGACAATGGTGAGGACAATGGCGGGAACAGTGGGGACAGTGGGACAGTGGTGGGGACGGTGGTGGTGGGGACAGTGGTGTGGGGTCAGTGGGAATGTGGTGGAAACAGTAGGACAGTGGAGGGTACAGTGGTGGTGGGGACAGTGGTGAAGGCGGTGGCGAGGACGGCGGTGGAACAATGGGACAGAGGTACAGTGGTGACAATGGTGGGGACAGTGGGGACAGTGGTGGGAACAGTGGGACAGCTCAGTGGGACAGCGGAGGAGTCAGTGGGACAGTGGGGATAGTCGTGGAGAAAGTTGGGAGTGTGGAGCCGTGGTGGGAACAGTGGTGGGGACAGTGGGGACAGTGCGACAGTGGTGGTGGCACTGGTGGGGACAGTAGGGGCGGTGGTGGAACCAGTGGGGACAGTGGTGGTGAGGACAGTGGTGCTGGGAACAACAGTGGGGGATGTGGTGAGGACGACGGTGGTAGGGACCGGGAGTCGTTTGCTGGCGGTGAGAGGGGTGGGTGGGGAGGGGGTCGAACCGGTAGTGATCCCCCCCTCCGGTTTTCGAGGGGGGGAGGGGTTCGAGCCGGTAGTGACCCCCTCCGGTTTTCGAGGGGGAGGGGGGGGGGAGGGGTTAGGGGAGGGGGGGAATTTTGCCGGGGGAGAGAGGGGGGGGGG